CAACAAACGAAGGGAACATTTAATACAAAATCAGAACAATGTAGGGTCTGAAATGACCCTTCGTCCAAACTGATGCCTGGTGGTCAAGATGTGGCCTTGGCCACCAAAAAACATCTCTGGGCCCTCGACCTAGTTTGGCCAGGTCCCACACATGTGACAAAGAAGGCGAGATTCAGAATGGAATAACCAACAGCAAAGAAAAGAACACAGTTAGAAAACGGAAATGAAATGAAGAGGAGAGTTTCTCATTCGTAAAATAAATAACTAAATGAGCAAGCAAGCAAAGCATGTGGAAAAACAGAGTCGTATGTTGGCCGCTGCATGGGGGTGGGACAGGTCAGCAAAATAGGGATGGGAAAGGGCATGACCCACCTGGATGAAGCTCGCCATTTCTTGCGTGTACGAGAGTATATTGCCCTAGTGACGGGAAAGAGAGTTTGTGCTTCCAAAGTGCTGCTCTAATCTCTTCAAATTCAGAACTTTTGAAGTAGTCCCTTGGCCATCGTAAAGTTGACAAGTTGACAACAAAATTTCCAGAGACATTGCTGGAAAACAAAATCTTAGGCCGCAACGGAAGCAGCTGAAATACAATCATGCTTACTTCATCTCCTTGCTTCGTGATCTGGTTAATGAAGAGATAACAGCAACACATCCATTTCAGGAAAATAAAAAGACAGTTACAATTGAGCAAAACTTGCCAAAAAGCCTAAAACTGCCAGAAAAGAGCCAATCACTATAAAATACATCCGCTTATATCGAGCAGGATTCATACTCTTGACCTGTTTATCAAGTTGTCAGCAGCCACAAGTTGATCCCATTTGCTAAAACTTAAGAGCCAAAGGAGGGATGTCAAAAGACAACATCTGGATTCTTCACCTTTCTATCAGCAGTCACACAAGCACCTGTTTGCTACAGCGCAGGAGCTGAAGGTGAATGTGGTTGCCATTTCCACAGACTGACCCAGTAGTATAGAGGAGAGGCTGGTCCAGTAGTAGGCATGCAAGGAACCAACTGCAATGACTTGCTGGTTCCAGGTTGCCTGTAGCCTCTCTCAGACGAGGCTGTACCATAGGTAGGGATAGATTCGTAATTTTGTTTGGCTGAGGGCTAACCGAGAGACCTACCTGTAAGGAAAATTCGTGAGGGACATATTTGTAAATATAGGAGATATGGGCCCAGTACTAACTTGAATTTCCTACAGTTACACCTAACTGCGACTAGCAGACCCGGGCTACCCCTAGGACAGACAGGCCCAATGGGCCTACGCTGATAGACGGTCCTATAGCCTATAGCCGGGTAGGGAGAGGCCCTAGAGGCCGAAACAGAAACAGTACCGGTCGGTCAGTCAGTCCGGTCTAGGTCGTGTCTAGGCTAGTCTAGAGTATAGATAGGATGGGGACATCGGTCCTGGGATTTTGGCAGTTGACACTTCGTGGTGGAAGTTGCTGCGCACACGGTATCAGGTCGTGGTTACTGATTCCAGTGTGGGAGACGGCGGACATAGCCAGACCTTCGGAGCGCTGGCCAGACTGGGGTCAACGCTGTCCGCTCCGACTCTCTGGGAGTCAAAGCGGTCTGGGCTATCAGAGGTCTGATGGGTTGGAGCACGTGGTGCACTGCTGACCCTCCTCAGGAGTAGGGTCCCAGTGGCGATGCAGCCATAGCTGCATCTTCTCAGAGGATACCATCGTCTGGACTTTATCTTCATCAGGGACTGTTGACGCTGAGCTTCTTCTTCATCATCTGGGTGGCGATTGGCTCTGGGAGCCTGTTTCATCTTGGCGCAGGCCACTGAGCTGGATGTCAGGGTGGCGCTGGGTGTCACCTGGGGTTCTGGTGCTATTTTTAGCTGCTCGGTGTGTGTGGGGTTGAGGCGCTGTCCCTCTGAGGGTAGCGCAACAGGGCTCTGAGGTTATTCAGTGAAAACGATGCTCTGAGTTTAATAAACAGTGGTAATACTGTGTTTGAGTTGTCATCTCTTCATTGATTTCTGGCTGTGATCACTCGGTTGTCTTCTATGAATGATTGTTGGGACTTGTGTGGAGAGAATCCACAGTTTTGCGTGTTCTGTCACTTCGCTCCTCTGAGTCTTCCGCTGCGTTCTTCCTGTTGGGCAGTGTGACACTCCATTACCTCTCCCCTTCCTTTTGTGCATGTATGGGCGTGTACGGGAGTTCCTGTGAATGCGCGTTGATAAAATTTCAACGGACAATCATGTTCATAACACAACTCGCATTCAATTCCAATTCGCCACTTGCAGCGCACGGAACACTCACAGAAGCATTGAGATAGCAAAGCGGTTTACACCAAGATGAAAGCTCTTTGAAACAATTGATATTATAGAGGACTCAAGTTCAGAATACAAGCGGCTATGGCCGCTATTGCCACCAACATCCCAAAGGTAAACTCTAGCTCAGATTTCCCCCTCTCTCTCAACGGACTCTCTCTCTCTCTCTCTCTCTCTCTCTCTCTCTCTCTCTCTCTCTCTCTCTCTCTCTCTCTCTCTCTCTCTCTCTCTCTCCCACCCCTCTTCGGCCGCTCAACCTCACTTGCTCAATCTTCCTCTCTGTCCTTGGATCGCTCCCTCGCACTTCCTTAATGCACTTGCAACCTCTCTCGCCCTAACAACCTATCGGCTACGGCGGTCTACTTCTTCCCGCTCAACCCTAGCTACGGCGCTGTGGCACCCTTCTCCTTCGTCAACCTCTCCAACTCAGTCCAACCGTCGGTCGCACAAGCATCAAGCAGAGCTTCCCCAACACAAATATTGACGAGTCATGTCAAATGGCACTGTAGCATCTATAAATAGCAATGTCGGCTGACATCTTCTGCTGTCTCCAGACCGGTACTGCTCTCCACGACCTGTCAGCTGCAATTGCCAGGTCCAGAACTTACCAGACTTTCCTAAGATGCTGCAACAAAATTGGACTTTGGGAGAGTTCTTTTGTCGGGTACCAGGCCTGACTTCTAAAAACCTATGACTCTTCAGCTTCTGGGCCTGTGGGACTGGGACCTTGTGGGACCCTTGGGACTGTGACCAGCTGAGACTCTGGGAACAGGACTCGGGTACTGACACAGCATGAAATCCATTCAGGCAGATGGTCTTCAGTTTATTCTTGAGCCACCAGGCTGTGAGGTAGAGCACAGTCTGCTGTGTATTCTTGAGCCACCATGCTGTGACGTAGAGCATAATCCTCAATTTATTCTTGAGCCACTAGGCTGTGAGGTAGAGAAGCCAGCAATAGATGGGGTAGAGGAGCCCAGCATTAGAGAAGATAGAGCGCTGTGTATAGCTAGGAGAGACTGGTGGTGCAACGGAAGAGTTCACTCACTCCACCTGGCCCCATATCTTGGAGGTCTGCCACCGACCATAGTTGGCCTCTTCTTCGAGGCATACTGCATCAGTGTCTCAAGGCCCTGCCTTTCACCAGGTAGTATCATTTCCTTGAGAGAGTGAGAGAGAGAGAGAGAGAGAGTGGAGACTTCCATACTTCTTATCCTCCATCTGTTCTTCTTCTTCTTCTTCTTCTTCCTCTTCTTCTTCTTCTTCTTCTTCTTCTTCTTCTTCTTCTTCTGAGAGAGAGAGAGAGACAGAGAGAGAGAGAGAGAGAGAGAGAGAGAGAGAGAGAGAGAGTCATTGGTAAATTGGGAGCCAGGCAGTGTAGTCGCGCCGACAGTCGGTGCTCCTGGATTGGTCGGCGACCAACCAGCCAGCCGTTCCACCCATCGGCACCTACCGGTCGGCTGTTGGTCGGCACCTAGCAAAAACGGAAAAAAAAAGAGCATGGTCCATAACCCCCAATAAGCCCGCCAACCCCCCCCCCCCCCCCCCCCAACATCCCCATACCATCCCCAACACCCTCATACGCCCCCAAATACTCCCCTCATACCCCTCATACCCCCCCCATCCCCAAAAGTTTCTCAGCGGATATGGGTTGTACTCAGCAAGAGAAGTACAGCCCAGAACTCAGATTTAAAAAAAAATCAGTGAATGGCCCTCTAGAAACTGGAGTCTTTTGGCGATGGCCAAAGACCATCTTTCAGATTGACTCATCCATACAAGATTTGGAGTTCGATCCAGACGAATGGGGCTGGAAGACAGGAAAGAACAGAAGAAATAATACCATCATACCCATTGCTGACTACTCAGTCAAAATGGGGTACGAGATGCTGCTCAAGACAAAGGACCTGGAACCAACTATGAAGCGTAGATGGACAAGGCTAATGGGAGATGACGCCAACGAAATCTCTAAAATACTGTGGAAGAAATATAAAAGTTGATAAAACAATACGTCCAATTAAGGGCAGAAGCCTTCAACGGTTAATTACATATGTTGCACTACCTGGCAAACACTGGCTACACACGAGGAGAAAGAACAACGATCCCAATAGCTCAGATCACACATGCGTCGCATCACATGCGCGGCGTCCACGCCCATGTGGTGCATTGCGCACAACGCCTGATGCACGTTGTCGCACTTTTTTTCCAATCGGGCCTCTTCAGGCGACCAGAAAGCCAACAGGCTGTCACACAAGATTTTGATGATATTTTGTAATAAGTAAATAAACTAAATAAAGCAAATCCCTTCCTGTTGTGTGCGCCCGGCTCCGAGTGAGACCCTTCAATTGCGGTCTTCGCCGGTCCCCGGTCTTAGGAATCCTTTATTTTTATTCGGAACAGCAAAGTTTATGCAGATGATAATTATGAAATGGCATGTCATGCATGTATCAATTTTGCCAATTTACTAATTTTGAGAACTGTGACAGAATTACCAAAGAGCACAATCATCAATCAGAGTCAATACAAATGAAGCAAGACTGACTGACTCAAGTCAAAGGCAAGAATAAATGAGGGAAGAATGAGAACTCATAATAGTTTCAGAAAGTACAGATAGATAGGCATGGCCAGCACTCGTTAGTAGTCCTCACTCGTCCCTCTAAAGTTTCGTCATTGATATCTCATTTGGCTGTGCGTTTCCTGTGCCTCGAACCACGCCTATGTACCTCCTGAGATTGTGGCTTCTGAATATAGAGCCATCTAAAACCTACAAGCTCTGAACATTTCCATCCGAGGCCCATAATACGAAAGTCAACCATGGTACAAAATTCCTCCCATAGAGTAGGGAGATATGGCTGAGAGAAGATCCCTCGTCTGAGATGTTGGAAATCTGAGGGTTTTGTCACTGCCTCATAATCAATCGCTGCAGGCGAAATGTACCTCTTGGCCAGATCTATCAGGTCTCCCCAGCAAGAGCCATCTGTGAGAGTCAAGGGTACTGGAGGCTTGGGATAGTCAGTGTAAAGCTTGGGTCCGAAGCTGCGGATCAATGTTAGCCCACTCTCATCAAACTCTCTCTCTCTCTCCTCGAGGCACCTGGTAGCCAAGATCCAAACTGAGTCAAAGTGTTCATGAGTCTCTTCGCCTCTCTTCACGTAGAGTCTCAGGTTGAGGATGGTGCCTGCTGCAAAACAGGTGAGAACGACAAAAATGGATAGGTCTCTCTATCTCAAACCAACTGCACTGATGTACCGATACTGAACTGGATCTTTGAGGGCTATCTTGTTAAGGTTGGTCATGACTGACTCACTGACAGGGGATGGTTGAACTCCACTCATGGGCTG